CACTTATGAGTGGGACAAAGCTCTATAGAGAATCTGGCATTCTCCTTTGCACCTTGTAAAGACAATGCAGCGAGTTTTTATATAGTTCTCAGAAAAATAGCCATTTGCAAGTATTAAATAGGTCGTTTTAAAAAATGTTTAGCTTTGACGCAAAAAAGGGTTTTCTCACTATTGGAAACATTCCTTAACCCTTAACTTGGCAGAGTGCATCAGTGGATACACTGCTCTTTAAAAAAATATTGTAGGAAAACTAAACGAATTTTGACATAGATTTTCTTGTAATAAGTTAGTTTATGAACTATGATATTTAGTAGGATTTATAGTTTTATTGCTGGTAACACTGAACTGTCAGTAGCCCGCAAGATGGTAGACCGTAAGCAGGCATCTACGCACAAGTCGGTAAGTATTATGTATTTTGCTACTTTTTTATCCATTTTTCATTATTATTTGAAGTGAAAGTAAATGCAGTAATACTATATTATTCCTGGATGTAGTTTTTTGATACCAAAACTTTATATATTCGATTTTACAACTCAGTTTGTCCATATGTATCTCTGAGTATACACTGCCAGCTGCGCAAGAAACTAGTGCTACTTTGATATGTATCTATGAAGATACACTGCCAGTTTATCAGTGAATGTATGTCTATGCAAAAAAAAGATAATTGTTGATTTTTTATATTCCTAATCAACACATTTAAATAAATTAAAAAAATAATAATTTGTGTAACACTTGTACAGTAACTGTAGTAGATAGAAATATATTTTTTTATAATTATGTATGCTTTGGTACAAATGCTCATACATATTTAAGATAAGCTGTACGATAATAAATGTTTGTTTCCAGATTTCACAACAAAAGCTTCAACAACAACTAAACAGAGCCCGCAGAATTCTAGCCCTAGTTCCAAAATCTGGAACTAGATCAGATGTAGGTAGCAGAGATGATTCAGCTGATGAGTTATATAAGTATATCCCTCCAACTCTTTCAGACAGTAGCTCTCCACCTCCATCTTTGTCATCGTCTTTGTTGGATCTAAACCTATTATCGTATAGCAATAAAGAGATAGATGAAATAACGCACAATTCTCCAGCTTTGCAACTGTACTCATCGCCTGCAAGTGATACTTGCGATTCGCCATCAATTTTCTCACCAAGGCAATCATCATCAATTTTACTGTTACAAGCTGCTGAAATTAGTTCACCAAAGCCAGGGTGTTTCGGGCATTGTAAATGACTTTAGTATATGAAGGGGAAGATACATTCCAGTTCACTTTATTTACCGAAGAAGAAGAAAGCATGGGATTAGGTGCAAAAGTCGTCATAGCTCTAGGCAAATCCATTTGCCAGCCTGCTTGTAAAATCTTGTGCTTTTACAACTTCTTTAGCTCAATTGAATTGATGCACCGACTGAGAAATGGATACGGTATTTTTTCTTTGGGAACTGTTATTCTAATTCTAATAACCGACTTCGTGGAGCACCGGAGGAACTTCCTACTGATAAAAAAATAAAAAAGAAAGTGAGGTACACATGCTCAGGTTGTGTGTAACAAAAACAAGATTGTTGTTACCAAGTGGTACGACAACAAATGCGTCACTGTTGCAAGCACATACGTAGACTCACATACTCTCCAAATTGTACCACGGTATAACAAAGTACTGAGAAAGAAAATACCAGTATCATGTCCACGAATGATAAAGGAGTACAACTCCAATATGGGTGGCGTGGATTTAGCGGATATGCTTATTGCGTTATACAGTACAGAATTCAAGGGACATCGCTTGTATCTACCTCTGTTTTCGCAAATCCTTGAAATATGTAATATGTGTAATATATGTAATATGTAATAACGCTTGGCTTATGTACCGACGAGGTGCATCAAATAAGTCAAAATTAATGCCATTGAAAGAATTCAGATATGAAATTTACCGAAGCTTACTTTTTTTTGACAGAGGCGTTTCTGCCAATAAACCCAAAAATTATGGACCCCTAATAAAAAAGCCAGCTGCAGAGAGACCCATTGTCGCTGTATGATATGTTCAAGTTGGGCATATGCCAGTATTTCAAACTAAAGGCAGGTGGAAAAAATTGCACAAAAGGCCAATTCATTGTCAAAAATGTAAATTAAGACTTTGTTTAGTAGAAGAGCCCAACTGTTTTCATGCATATCATACCAAATAGTATTGTAAAGCAAATAATTTGTATTGTTTGATTATATAACGTGATCTTATAATTATAAAACTGTTTATTTGATAATAAAAATGATAAATAATTGTTGATTAATTACAATTAGAATCTATTTTTTGTTACAATGTAAACATGGCACTGTATCTATCAGGATACGTACTTTTTATCATGTAAATTGTTGCTTACCTGGCAGTGTGCACTGCAGGATACGTTCAATAAAAAAATATTTAAAAGCAAAAGATTTTTTTTAAATATTTTATTCACCTTTTATTTACCTAATTAAACACCCTGATTGAAAGAAAACAATAAAATAAGGAAAAAAAAAATATCTGCCAAGTAAAGGGTTAATAAGATTATTTTTCTACTACCTAAGAATTTATCATACAACCTGTTTTTGAGATGACTCATTAGTTTTTCCATTACACTTTCAAGTTCTAGGACAGTGCATGGAGCTCTTCCCAATGTTAAAATTGCTACTTGGAACTCCAACATTACGTTACAAATTACAAAATAAATACGCTTCTAAAATCCCCTTCCTGTTTGTATTCGTCAACCCCTTCGCTATTATTATCAATATGGCTTTTACTTTTTGTTACAAACTCACACATAAATATCTCTTTTCGACATTCGGTCTTTCCCATTCAACATAAATTACTGCTTTACAGCAGACTAACAATACAGTAAATGATCTAAAGTGGGCAAAAGAGATAGCCATCTTGTCGGGACATGACGAATAAGAATGTGACCGCGCGTGGCAATTGTAAATTATTATTTTGTATAGAACTTTCAGAAAAGCCGTTTGTCTGGAGATTTTGAGTTTTGTCGGGAGTCTGGAGATCATTCAAAATGTCGGGAGAATCCAGACGAATCCCGACCATCTGGCAACCCTACTTGTAGCACAGATAAAGGAAAAATTGCGAAAAGCATAAATTTTTAGTTACATTATATAATAAAAATATTTTTAATAATTTTAAACTACGGATATGTGCGGAACCCTCGGAGCGCGAGTCCGACTCGCACTTGGCCGGTTTTTTATTTTCAATTCTATGTGATACACTGATCTTAAGTTTTTAATTTTGGTTTTAAGCATTTTCAATGTTGGTTCATTCATTACTTTTAATAAACCATCGTAAGGGTTTTTATGTGCTATATTATTTTTGTACATCGGTGAACGAGGGTTCCAAAGACATTCATGGTTTCGGTAGTGAATAATAAAATTTAATGTTTTTTCGTCTCCCCAGCGCGCCATTTTTCACAAAACTCGGTTTACTCGAGAAATTACTCGAAAAAAAGGACGCAAAACATACAAAGCAATCTGTTACGGGAGGAAGATTAAAAGTAGCGTGCTAGTAAGCAAACACGTTCAGACATGCTCAAAGCACGCTACCCTCAACCCCCGCCTCAAGTAGCAGGCTCGAAAATCGAACGACTGCTCGTTACTAGCAATGTTTTGATACACTTGCTACTAAGTAGCATTTGCTCATTAATAGCAAGATTTCGTGCTACTAATGAGCATGTCTATCCGTAGCTTAAAGCATTATTTAGTTAAGCATGCTTTAGTTATTATTCTGAGTTGCAAACTCCTCCAGCAATAAAAGAGTACCCATAGATAAGAGTGTATTTACCATAGATATAAGTTTCTATGGTATATACGGAAAAAAGTACCTATTTATTCTGTGCTCCTCCAGTCTGACATATTCACAGAGTATAATTTTATAAACTGGAAGACCTTAGGGATGGTCGATGTTGTAGAAACATCGATGATGACATCGATGTTGACATCGACAGCTCAACATCGATGTTCGATGTTTATCCTACTGAAAACATCGATGTTGGCCATTATCGATGTTTTTGCACATGTATTTAATAGGTTAGAATTAGATGAATAAAAAAAATTGTCATGTTGTTTATCGTTTAAAATTAATGAAATAAAAAAAAATAATAAACAATGTAGTATAAAACATTAATTAAAAAAATTGGAAGTAGTTCACAAATATTTAATTCACTTGTTATATTGTCCAATATATTTGCAGATTGATTGAAGAAATAGTAAATTTGACAAAGAAGTACCTTTCAATCTGTTTCTTTGTTGATAAAGAGTTGAGCCAGCTATTGAAAATAATTTAAAAATAAAATTTTGTACAACTGACTTAAGGATAACTCATAAACTATTATTCAGACTTGTATGGGTCTAATTTATATCGGACCACATGTAAAGCACCAAATTTCAATTAATAAAAAAAAGAATCATTGAAATCGGTACACCCAGAAAAAAAGTTATGAGGTAACACACATTAAAAAAGAACATATAGTGGAATCGAGTACCTCCTCCTTTTTGAAGTCGGTGGATGACCGCTCAGATGACGCTGATGTAGCGATAGTGGTCAAATATCTCACTAGCAAGTTTTCTTTTTAATTTTAGATAGAACCGATAGCATTGTTCTAAACGTGCATTGGATCGTGTTTAAGATCAACCATCGGATTTTTTTTAAACAACCCATAAAGAAACAGATAACCAACAACGACACCAATAACAAACGAAATCAGTGACAACTGTAACATTACAGTTGACATTTGACAGTTAAATTTGATACCCCATAATGATATATTTTGAGGTTATCGATGCGTTCAAGCATTCTGATTAGAGGAGATGCAAGATTTAGTTGATACCCAATATTCGATTATGGGTTTAATTACATCGATGTTTCGATGTTTGACATGTGGCAACATCGATGTTTTCATTCTTGACATCGATAATCACGAACATCGATGATCATCGACCATCCCTAGAAGACATATTATTGATTTATTGCGTTTTTGAGGCAAAGACAGAAAGACTATATTTTTAGTGTTTTTTTAGAGACAGGGACTCTTCATCTCTTCGTACATGTCTAGTAAAAAGTGTTGTGTTCCCGGCTGCATGGGTTCTGGAAGTGAGTATATTCCGTAATTTGATAAGATTTAAACTAAAGATATTGTCAAAAATGTCCTCTTCCATCAGTGCTGTGCAAAGAGTGTAGTAACTGTCCTATACAGGTTACTGTGCCTTGTATGGAGGGCTGTAGGCTGATATCCATATTAATATATTATTATAATCTAATAAATGTAAGATAGTGACCGTACTTTGTGATATTTATTGAGGATGGAAGGATGATGATAATGATGATTAATTGTTTGTTTTATTTATTGTTATAAGCCGTGCTGAAAAAATCGTCACTAAAATAATATAATATAATGTAATATTATAATAATATAATGTATAAATGGCCCATTTTCGCCTTCTTATCTTAATAGTATATTTCACTATCTCTCCTCATCTCATGATAGGGTTCTACGTTCTTCTTTTAACAACAAAGTATGTATTCCTGTTTACTTCGCCAAGTTCTATTGTAACTCCTTTACAGTTCAGGCTACATGCCTTTGAAACTCCTTACCTGATGACATCAGAAAAGCTCCTAATAAGTTTGCTTTTAAAAAGTTGGTGCATAATCATCTATTAAAGACAATTCTTCTTACATGAATCATCTATGTCATTTATATTCTTAACATAGTAATTTATATGTACTATTACATGGTTATTTTGCAATAGCTGGCCAAATTTGCAGAAAGGTTTAGAATAAGTAATATTGGCAAATGTTGAAAAAAATTAATTAAACTCTTAAACATTCTGTCTTTATATCTTTTAAATTTACAATGTGTGGAAATGCAAGATTTTAACTGCTTTTACTGCACACGCACGCATTCGTAAAAATTGATCGATAGGCAAAAACATTCTTTCCCATAAATCTCATTCAATTTGGGATAAGGATTGGATTTAGAATCGTTTGGCACAAATTTGGCGGAGTAAGGTGTTTTATTTGGTAGAGATTTGGTCCCCGATTATAATAATACCACTGACATTATAAGGTAATACACCGTTATCGAAAAAATAAATAAAAACTACTATAACCTAAAATGCGTAAAACATGGAAAAATTACTGTGATAGCTGGATAGCATACAGAATTTTGTGTAAGTGCGACAAGGACATAAGTCTAGTGTCACATCATTCTACTGTCTATACTCTCTGTCAAGAGATATTTCGCTAAAGACAACTATATTAATAGAGAAAATTTTACCAACTTGATAGTTGCATATTTATGGAGAAGAGAAATTATAAGAAATAAAAGAGATCCTTTTGAGGAATTAATAAAAAAAATTATGTTTACAGACAATAAAGAAATGATTATAATATACTGTTTTATTTCTGAATTAAAACTTTAAAACTGTCCAGAAATACTTGAACACCCAGACATAATTTCAGTTGTAATAGGTTAGAAGATTGTGGCGGGAGCGAAGGCAACCTGACTTTATAGATAAGATATCTGATCTGATCGAATCTGTACTAAAATTAAACCAGCACACCCCGACTCCACGTAGTCTTGTCTGCCCTACTCCTAGAGTGTTTTTGTAAAGCCGTAGGCGCAGAGGCAGAGCAGCCCCCGCCCGCTGCAGCAAATCGCAGGCACCTGTGCGAGTGTGCGGAGGTGAGCATGGGTGCCTGTGATTCGCTACTCAAGGGCAAAGAGGCTGCACTTCTCGCAGCGCCGAAGCTGTTGTAAAAGTAACTTTGGGTCAATAATCCTGTGTAAAAAAGTGAGGTTTTGATTTTACAAAAAAAAAAACATTACTCATAAACTATACTTTTCCACAACGAGGGAAGGGTAGAGGGACTTTCCCTGATAGGGCACACTCCTGCTACCCACTTCTCCCCTCCTGCCGGAGACGATAAATGTTATTTTCAGCTTAGGTCTATGGGATTTCCTATTTCATTTTTCTTAAGAACGGTGTATTACCTTTTAATGGGAGTGGTGCCGGGAGTAAGGGGACGCTCCCCCCTTCCCGACCCCTCAACCCCTGCCAAACGATTCTAAATTTCAACCTGGGATAATTTCAAATAAAAGTAGAAGACTTATTTACTTGTATTTTCAAAAACTGCAATAATGGTATATCATTATTTAAATATTTAATAATAGTTTAAAGTTTGGCTACTCTTTGAAAAATAACCCTGCATATGTATGTTGATATTATGCATTTATTTGTATATATTTATATATATATGTTTAAATAGGAGATATTTCTATAGTTTATTTATTTTATATGCTAGTAAAATGTATATATTACATAGTTAACTATCGTTATTATTTTGTTTTTATTACGTTTTTATATGTGGTAGAGCCATGCTGCAGCTATATTATGTTTGTAGCACGAATGGGTCGGCTCAACCGGGGAAGGACCATACTCTCACAGAATACCAGCATCAAATAGCAGCTTAACGCTGCTGTGTTTCGTATGGTGAGTTTAGAGAACCGGAGACCCTTTTTACTGGAAATGAGGCATTCCATCTTAGTCCTCATGGGTGACAACGCATCTGCATTTTCATTCATAATCGAAGATAGATGTAGATGTCTATGGGCCACAGCAACCACTTACCATCAAGTGGACTGTGTGCTCATTTGTCACCCTTATCCTATAAAAAAAAATTCTATGTTGCTACACCTACGTCAAAATCCACCATATCATGGGTTGACTGTTAGAGAATGCCTCAACGCATTAAGTCAAAATTGTCTGGTCTGTCTCAGTTTTAGACCATTTAACCCAATGGAATTGCCTCGCATGATTGTTCCCCTCTGCCAAGGTATTTGGATTTAAAATTTTGTGCGCTTATAAAAACTGTTTACAGAATCGATTTTATCATTACAAGAATCGTTTCCGCTGAAGTAGGTGCTCTTTAAAAAATCCTGATCTGTGCGATTAATGTGTATAAAGCAGTTATATACTTAAAATTTATTCCATATGTATTTTTATTGTGATACATGCTTTTTTCATTAGTTAATAGAGTATATAATATTTTTACACATGTGATATATTGCCTTTATTTTGATAAGATTGTCTCTGTGGTAGCAGCGTCGACAAGTATGGGCTCCACAGACTGTCATGAAGGAAAAGCGCTGGTAGGTTTTCACGACACAGTTCCTTGAACAATGTCATCCGAAGGGCTCTTGTCTCTATAAATGTTCCCTCGGTTTTAGAGCCTTGTGGAATATTTAGAGACGATGGCAGGAGACCCGACAGTATGACATTGGTCCCTTGGGAGAGAGGTAAAGCCCTAGTGTGAGATGCTACTTGCGTAGACACTCTGGCGGCCTCTCATCTCAGGGGTACCTCGTTTAGAGCCGGGGCGGCATCAGAGGCAGCTGAACTGAGTAAGTGGCGTAAATATGAGTCTCTGAGAGATGACTACATATTTATGCCATTTACTGTAGAGACTATTGGTCCATGGGGTCCACCTGCGGTGAAGTTCCTAAAGGAATATCACCAGCAGCAGCGACCAGCCGCGGATGTAGCGGCTGGTCGTTGCTGCTGGTGATAAGAGGGCTGGTTCTTTTCTCGCTCAAAGGCTAAGTATAGCCATTCAGCGGGGAAACGCAGCCAGAGTTCTTGTCACGATACCGCGACTATATGATAATTAAGTTTCTAATTTTAGTTTTTTTTTATTATTATAGTTTTTAATATTGTAAAAAATTATATTATAATAATATAAATAAATTTTTAAATTAAGATTAAACAACTGAATCAGCAAAGGCTTTTTTCTTTGTACATAGGCTGCACTAAAAGTATCGGGAATGGAATATTTCCACTGTTCCTGTCATATTAAAATCTTTTTAATTGAAAACTCCTTGGTTTTAAAAATCGAATACCATTTTATTTATTTAAAAAAAGATTCTCGGTCTTGTCACAAGGTTTTGTCAAACTTGTTTAGTCGTTGAGAAAATGGAATTGACTCGAGAAAATTCAAGAGCGATGATTTATTATGGCTTTCTAAGTGGTTTAACACAAAAACAGTGTGTTGACCGGATGATTTCTGCTTTTGGTGATGAAGCCCCCATCCAAAACCACAATTTATCGCTGGTTTGCTGAATTTCAACGTGGACGTGTCAAGCTCAGTGATAATCCCCGTCAAGGTCGTCCAAAAAGTGCAGTCACCCAAGAAAACGTTGATGCTGTGCGTAAGCTGATTAAGAAAGATCGACATGTGACATACCGCGAAATTCAGGCAACTTTAGACATTGGCATGAGTCAAATACAAATAATCTTGCATGAACAATCAGGTGTAAAAAAGTTGTTTTCCCGATGGATACCGCATTCGCTCTGTGAAGAGCAAAAAGCGGCTCGCGTTACTTGATGCGTCAGAACTCTCGAAAGATTCCACGCAGGATCCTCAAATGCTGTATACAACATCGTATCAGGTGACAAATCCTGGATATACGCGTATGAACCCGAAACAAAAAACCAGTCACGAGTTTGGATGTTCGAAAATGAGTTAAAGCCAACAAAAATTGTTCGTTCACGGAGTGTTGCAAAAAAAAAAATGGTGGCCACGTTTGTCTCCAAAACCGGCCATGTTACGACTATTCCTCTTGAGGGACAAAGAACGGTTAATGCAGAATGGTATGCTAGCATTTGTTTGCCACAAGTCGTTTCTGAACTCCGTAAAGAGAACTGCAACCGCCGCATCATCCTCCATCACGACAATGCGAGTTCTCACACCGCACACAGAACAAAAGAGTTTCTAGAGCAAGAAAACATAGAATTATTAGACCATCCGCCGTACAGCCCCGACCTAAGCCCTAATGATTTCTATACTTTCCCTAAAATAAAGACTAAATTGCGTGGACAGAGATTTTCATCACCTGAAGGAGCTGTGGACGCCTACAAAACGGCCATTTTGGAGACCCCAACTTCCGAATGAAATGGTTGCTTCAATGATTGGTTCTATCGTATGGAAAAATGTGTCAAATTTTGCGGAGAATACTTCGAAAAACAATAAATACATTTTTAAATAGTAATGTTGTGTCACTTCCTTGATACCCGAAATTTTCAGTGCCGCCCTCGTAACATAGATTCCTTGAATATTTTAGGTATTTTGCAATCTTAGATCCTCCTTTTATTTGATCGCTTATAGCGATAAGGCCGCCAAAAGTATACATTTCAATTGTGTTGATTAGTTCTTAAGATACTTTGTGTTTTGTGCAATAAAAAATATCTATTTATCTGACATCCTTGAACACACACACACTCACAAAAGACGTGCGGACATAAATAGTGCTGATGTAAGAGTAGTAGATCATTCAAAATTGTCTTTTGTTTGAATAGGGTGTTAGGAGGTTGACTACAGGTTTGTAATGTAAAGTCAGAAAAAGTACTCTGCTTAAAAAAAACATTGATGTTTCTAACCGAATATATCGAATGATATAGCAATATTATAAATTTATAAATTGTTTCTTTAAATATTGTTACGAGCTTGGGGTTCTAGACAATAAAAAACTGCCGATTGAATTACCAAAATTGACACTTTAATTAGAGAACACTAATTACAATGTAAAACCATACTAATAATAAAACACAATTGTACTACTGATCACTTTAGTTCACAGTTATTTCGCTTCGAAGTATTCTCTTGTATCGCCACTTCAATACTGACTCGGTCGTGGTCTATACCGACTTTATAAAGGGCCTCAGATAGTTTCCAGAACCTTCTACTGTAGAAGAATCTAGTATGTTCTTTAAGAAAAATGACAAGAGTGATGTTGCAAATTATAGACCCATAGCACTCATACCGATATTCTCTAAAATTTTTGAAAAGTTAATAAGTCAAAACCTTAATGATTTCTTTGAAAAATATAAAATATTCACAGAGAAACAAGTCGGATTTCGAAAGAATAAAAGTGTAAATTTAGCTGTCTTTCAATTTCTGCGTACTGTAATGACAAGCCTTAATAATAAGCACTTAGTATCTGCTCTATATATGGATTTAACTAAAGCTTTTGACTATGTTAATCACAGTATCCTCTTAAGTAAATTAGAAGCATACGGAGTCCGAGGAAATGTCCTCAATTTCCTAAAAACATACTTAATAAATCGACAACAATGTACACAAATTACGCGTATATGCTCAAAAACGTATAGACAAATAGCTTATTCATCCTCATATCGCGAAGTAACTCAAGGAGTACCCCCAGGGGAGTATTCTTGGTCCATTGTTATTCCTTGTTTATATAAACGATTTACCAAATTATATAAATCAAGATATGGTACTATTTGCAGACGATAGCACAGTGATGTTTACAAGCACAAGCAAAAATCAAATGATATCTGACATAAATCAAACACTGGACATAATAATTCAATGGCTATCAAATAATAATTTATTAATCAATCTAAATAAAACAAATCTAATGACATTCGGAAACGTGAAAAATAATTTAATAAATATTAATATATGCTACAACGGACAACAAATTAATGTAGTCGAAAATGCAAAATTTTTAGGCCTCAATCTCGATTCAAACTTAATGGAAATCTCAAGTGGAAGATATTTGTACTAAACTCAACCGGTTCTCTTATGCTCTGTATAGACTTGGAACAATTGTGAATCAATCTGCCGTCATCACTGCGTACCACGGTTATGTATAATCAGTGTTAAGGTATGGTGTCATCCTTTGGGGTAACTCTGTAGACAATGAAATGATATTTAGAGCCCAAAAGAGATGTGTAAGGGCCATTGTGAAGTTAAAACAGACGGATAGTTGTAAACCATTTTTTATTAGTATGAAACTGTTAACACTTCCATGCCTTTATATATATGAGGTAGCCGTTTTTGTTATTACGCATATTTCTTTATTTGAGTGCCTACACAGTAAACGTAATAATCACAAAATATGTTTTCCATCAAACAAAACAGCCCAATTTAACAACAGTGTATTTTGTATGGCCCCTCAAATTTATAACCATTTACCATTACACATTTTGAGATGCTCAAATATATCAAATATTTTGTATGGCCCCTCAAATTTATAACCATTTACCATTACACATTTTGAGATGCTCAAATATATCAAATATTTTGTATGGCCCCTCAAATTTATAACCATTTACCATTACACATTTTGAGATGCTCAAATATAGATAACTTTAAAATACTATTGAAGCAATTTCTTCTTAATAGGGCATACTACAGTATGAAAGAATATCTTGAAGACAAATATGAAATTCAATAATTGACTGTTACATGACTGAGAATAACTAAATTGACTTGACTTATATAATATTATCTAAATTGACTTATCGCTATTATTTTTGATTTTGTATCATGTGAACTCCAATTTTAATTAAATTTTAACATACTCTAATGTTTAAGTAATTTAATATAAAAGTAATAAAATGTGATGGACGTTGCATGCCAAATGCGGAATATAGCTGTACTAAATGTTTGTTTTATAAGTGATAAACTATGTAAACACCAACTGTATCAACCTATATTCGCAATAAACAATTTGAATTTGAATTTACATATCGGTCCCGAAATTTCTAGAAGGATCTTGACTCTCCTAGTTCTGCTACTCGATACTAGAGGGCGCTAGTGGTAACTAGTGTTGCCATGTACAAGACATTAATAGTGGCGCGCAACAATATTTATAATCTCTAAATTTCAGAGTCACACAAGACGCTCCATTTATTTCCAAACCCAATTGAGATTGAACGTTTTAAGGAGTGGATTTTATCTATTGGAGGGGATATTCTTGGTTTGGATAATGAGTATATTTTTAAACAACGCCGTGTTTGCCATGCTCACTTTGAAGAGAAATATTGCTGCCGAAATAACAGAATAAGCAATATTGCAATTCCAACAATAAATTTACCCAGTAAGCTATGTGATTTCTCAGTTCTAATTAGAATGTGTTATGCAGAAATTATTTTTACGCCAGCATACAATACATTTTCAGTATAAAAAAAACTTAATACTCAAAATTTTTTTCTTTTATAGAGTAAGGGTGACAAGCGAACACACAGCCCACCTGATGGGTAAGTGGATGATGTGGCCTATAGACATCTACATCTATCTTCGATTAAGAATCAAAATGTAGATGTGATGCCACCCCTCTGGTTCTCACACTCGCCAAACAAAACAGCAGTGTTGATGCTATTTTATGCTGATATTTTGTGAGAGTCCTTCCCTAGTCCAGCTGACCCATTCAGCTACAACTATAATATAAACTACTCTAAACAAAATAGGGCCTACTCTAAGTTAATCTCCAATTTCGTCTAAAAACCTTGTTCGGTAGTAAATAGTGAAGTTAAACATTTCGAAGTATTGTTGACATGTTTATCTAACGTTATCAATGTTTCAAGTCAGGAATTCAATGGTGGGTAGACTAAAAAAATGAAGTACTCCAAAAAACGTTTATTACTCAAATTTTCAGTCACTTGTAGCCTCAGTCACATTCTGAATGTTACAGCTGCACGTCTACTTTTTTCATTTTGACTTCATTTCGGTGTTACTCGCGATCATTATGCCTGGTTCTCGGCGTCATATGGATGTGGAAACAGCAACAAGAGCAGTGTTTATGCTTCAGGAGGGAGAATCGCAGAGATCAGTGGCAAGACGTCTTGGTGTGTTGCGACGAGCTATTCGAAACGGGTGGGAACGCTTTCTAGAGACAGGTAGTGTCGCGACGAGATCTGGATCAGGAAGAGCGCGAGATACAACCGTCCAGGAAGACCGGTATATCAGATTGACTGCACGTCGAGAGCGTACGATTCCCGCCCGCGTCTTACAAAATCGACTGCGGCAATCGACTGGCACACGAATTAGTGATCTAACCATTCGAAATCGGCTCCATGAAGACGGACAACGTTCCAGATCTCGTGTTATTCGTCTAAAATTGACAAGAGCGCATCATGCAGCACGTTTGAGGTATTGCTCGCGAGCATGCGGAGTGGACAATGGACAACTGGAGAAATGTACTCTTTACGGACGAAAGTAAAGTGAAGTTTTTCAGCGATGATTGTCGAGTGCGCGTGTGTAGAAGAGAAGGAGAACGTTTTTCAGAACCTTGCATACATGAAACGGATCGTTTTGGAGGTCCAAATGTTATGGTGTGGGCTGGAATAAGCTTGCTCGGTAAAACTGAGCTGGTAATTCTGGAAGAAGGCTCCATAACTGCCTCCCGGTATCTTGATCGAATAATTCGGCCCCATGTCATCCCATTTTCACAAAGAGTGGGTGAAAACTTCGTCTTTATGCAAGACAATGCTCGCCCACATACAACGCAAACAACCCAGAGAGCTCTCTCTGAAGCCAATATTACGGTTTTACCGTGGCCGGCCATGAGTCCCGATCTCAACCCCTTTGAACATTTATGGGACCAATTAGAAAGAAGCCTCAAATCGAACTTCAGTAATGTGACTAATCGACAAGAGCTCATAAACTTCCTAAAATTGTGTTGGGAGCGAATACCCGAGGAAAACATCACCCACTTGATTGAAAGTGTCCCAGATAGATTCAGAGAGTGCATACGGAATAGAGGAGGACCTACTCGCTATTAAGCACCATCAAACTCATTGATTTAGTCAATAATAAAAATCAAAATTAAACTTTACTTAAATCAATAATTTCTGTAAACTTTCCTAAAAACTGTAAATTTTGACTAAATTCCATAAAATTGGAAAAACTTACTCTTGTTAATGTTCACACACTTACCAAAACCTTAATTTATTCATTCCTAATCATAAAAACTGAAAAAGGCAAAGAATCTGTAAAATTCATTTATAAAACATGGTGGGCCCTATTTTGTTTTGAGTAGTTTAGTTGCATTGTGTGTGGCACTTCCACATATAAAATAAAGTCAAATAAAAAACCATTTCATTGCATTTTTCAGAACCGATATCTCTCCCAATATTTACACTCTCCGAAAGAAGGCCACTTAGGCAAACAGAGTATTGTTCAAAACCTGTACCATCAACCTCATCAGGTAATTATACAAGGGTTGCATTTCACTACTGGTAACTGCATGAATGCTTACTGTTTTTGTAACTTAACGAGTTGAATGTAAATTCAAGAGAAACAACTTCCTTCTGCGTGAATCCCATATCTCTGGTACCCTTTGACCTATAGGACCCAAATTCAAACTCCACCGAGCTACTAGCTCAAGGTATCCACATACCAAATTTAAAGTCAATCGGTCCAGTGGGACGGAAGTTATCGTGTCGGCATACAGACTAACAGACTGCCAGCTAAAACCATTAACTTCCTTTCAATGCTACGCAGAAGGAAGTTAATAAAAGAAACAGTTTACGTTAACACAATATGAAGCTATTAAACATACTAAAATATTAACTACACTTCAGAAGTATCCTCACAAAGGAAATTTGAAATTGATAATTAAAAAAATGAATGAAATGAAATTTTAAAATGAAAATAAAAAAAAAGTCGTTTAATTTTATTCCTGTTACATTAAGACTTATGACACCTAAGGACATCCTCCTGTTACATTGACATTTATGACACCAAAGCCATTTTTATTACCTAGCTTTACTTACCATCTTGCTGTGTTACCTAGTTTTTCATATAATTAAGTATTGTTACTTTAATAATGGTTTTATTTTTATTTTAGGTTGTACTGCTGATTTTACCACTACATTCATTGAATCTGATTTTACAGAGAAAGAAAATATTGGTATGTCACGTGGCTGATATTTTTTTATATTTTAGTTTCATATTATTTAAGACACTTAAGGATAAATGACATAGCTTGTAACTTACTACTTTATTAGGTGGTTGACTCTATTACTCATTTCTGTCACCAATCAGCAGTGGAACAGCTATTGTGTTTCAGTTTGAAAGGCATTTCGTTTTTAAAAAAGGCCTAAATAATTTGAGATGCCTAAAAAATTCCTGTTTTTTTTTGACTTACTTAGAATCAAACATAGCCTGATTGACACTAATGTGTTAAATTTTTTATGTACTATATGTATATTTTTATGTATTTTAATTATTAACATGTTATTTCAGAGTCTATGATTAATATCCAGTTACAGTTTCATAAAGAAAATGAAGTGCTTAAGAAAAATGATTAAGAAATTAAGTAATATAAAGAACATACCCTAAATGAGATTTTATTTAAAAAAAAATTACAAGAAGCAGGTTTCATTGTGGTAGCAACAGTTTGTGACCAGGGCACTAATAACAGATAAGCCATTAAATTACTATTAAATGAAACACGAGGTGCCCTTTTAAGCGCAGGAAAAGAAAACGTCACAATGATAGAAAATCAAGAAATTATTCCTTTATATGATCCTCCACATCTTTTGAAGTGCATTAGAAATAATTTACTAACGAAGGATCTTCAATATGTTGTAAATGATTCATATTAAACTCCTGCATAAAGAAAATCCTGGCTGCAAGACCATAAGACTAATACGTAAACGGACAGATAATCATGTTTTACACACCAAAATACCAAAGTGAATGGTGAAATATAAAAGTCAAATATTTAGTGGTATCTAATATGGGATATCTTGCAGGTAATATATTTTTTATAATAGTTTATTATAAAATATTTTCAATATAATAATTTAATATATTTCTTTCTTATTCTGTCTTACACAGTCCTTATTCTGATTTGATATGGGTAAAAGTGTGTTGGTCTAGGAATAATATAATAAAAAAATAAGTTGCAGACTATAAATGTACCACATTAGTACATAAAGGTCCTGCCATTTTAGACTCAAGTTCTGCTTGGTGGATGTTTTTCAGCCATGCAGGTTAGGTAAATTTAGTACTGAAAATTGTAATTAATGTTCATACTGCATCTTTTATTAGAAATTAAATATGAAAATGTTTTTATTTTATACCATTTCTGTTCTTTTATTCAGTTCAGCTTAAGTCTTTCATGAATTTATTACCAAATTAAATTATATATTTAGTCTTAAAAATCAGATAACCCATCATCTCATTTTGTCCCGTGGGTGTGTCATAAGAGAGGAAAGTCAAAAAAATCTTATGACTGCCGTTTAGTTGGTGGAATAACCATCTCGTTTACGCCAGACGTAAAATATCCAAATCGACGACAGACAAGCTGCGTCAAACGTCAAGAACTACAATAGTCAATCCGTCCCAAGCATGACAGGCTCAAGGCCAGCAGTAAACTCTACTATTAACAAATGGATTAATTAGCTTTTTGTCTTTCAGAAAAAGGCATTCTTCCAAGAGAATGTGAGGAAACTGCTGGTATACTCCTCTTTTTTGACAAGGTATTCGATTCTATCAATGGAAGCTATAAGAACGAAAAAAAAACTATATGGAAAGCCTTCTCTTGGACCAGCAAAGCCAATCTCTAAAGCACTAAACATCATAAGGTGTGGAATGATGGTGAAAGCAAAAGCTATTATATCAAATAATCCTGAAAGTGTACCAACAATTAAAAATTGCGTATGAACACTGAATTGTTTACAAATTCTTTAAAAAAAATTAGAAACTAAGTATGGTATTACTTCTGTTTGGATGTGGCACCTCAACCGAGACGCTATTGGAAATTTTTTGGGGCCCTTAGAAGCCATGGTTGCCGCAATGTTAATCCAACACGAGAACAGTCTCAGAGTGCCTACAATACACTTTCAACAATATGTCCAGTGACCATGACCCAGGTGCTAATTGTGGAAAAGATAATTGGCTTTAGTCTCTTATCATCACAGATAACTACAAAGCTGATATAACCTGTGACCTTGAAACAATCCCAGATGTAGAAATAATATTTAAGAGAAAACTGTTCCATATATAAATGGGGTATTAGATTATGTTAGTGGATACTTTGCTAGATGCGCTAAAAAAATTTTATAAATTGTACCGAACATTGTACTGCTAACGTCATGGCCTTACAAGAAAATGAAATCATTAAATTTCGGGATTATGCAGGTAAACGGTGGCTTTGCAGTCCCACAAACTAACTATAGACATAGCACTTAACTGAGTAGGTTCCTGCGGTATTTGAGCGGTGCGGGAGGGGTGACATGTGATATAAAGGAACTGTCTCACTATGCACGTGATGAATAGTAATGAAGATATCTCTTACGATAGTTACAAGATACCTAAATTGAATTAGTATAAACTGCGTCTGACAATATAAACAATCAAAATGAGTTACAATATCATGTAATGTTAATATTTTGAACTGAAATTTTAAATTCAAGTAAATTAATCTGTATCTGTATCCATATAGCTACTAGAATCGCCATCTGTATCATTTGAAACTCTTTCATGATCTAATTAGCCATGTCGTAAATTTATAATAAATTGATCCATTATTTCGTCGCTAAGATGGTCGTTTTTGTAGTACTCTTCTTCCACTTTCTTTGCGTGACTGTCATATTTTTGACATTTCTCCACTGAATAATTAGAAAATATATCTTCAAGTGCTTGTTGCTACTTGAGTTAATATGTTTTCGAGCTAGCTCACCTTTTATATCTCCCCATATCGGGTTTAAAGCCGGATGATACGGTAGCAAATAAAGTACATTATGACCCTTTTCTTTCAATATGACATCAATTTTAAATTGTTTTTCTCGTTTATTTCGTTTTATTAATTCTAGCAAATCCCTCTTTTTCATAGCTTCATTATATTCAATGATACGCCGCTTTAACCAATACTGCATTTACGTTTTCAAGGAACATATAGCGGGTGCTTTATAAACCTCATGCAATTATATTTTGCGTTATCCATTACTATTACTGAGTTAGGGAAGATAAAAGCTTTTCGCAAACCAACATTTCGACAAAATCGTAAAGAAGGCCGATCTATCGTATATCTTGATGAAACGTATATTCACAATTCATACTTTGTGGAAAAATGTTGGCAAAAGGAAAGAGAAGAAGGCATTTTAAAGAGTGATTCAGTTGTTGCACGCTGGATTATTGTTCATGCAGGTGGTGAAATGAGCTTAGAACCAAATGCGCAATTGATATTTTAATCACAGTCCAAGTCGAAGTCGCAGAATTGATGAAATTCATATTTCCATCATAATCTTCTGTCGTAGTAGATGGTTTCAAAATGGTTAAAGCGCCATCAATAAATCCTGAACTTCCACCAGCATGTACGATGACCAGTCTATTCCCTTTACCAATAGAAGACAATGCACCACTTTCAGTATCTGACTGCTAACAAGTCGGCACATTTTGGGATTCTTTGACGTAAATTTCGTCTTGAAAATAAAGGGTGGGCCAAAAATTATTGCACTTGAAACATGAATAGAAATAAAACTACAAATGTTATTTTGTTGATAATTTATTTATCGTAATAATTATTTAATGAAATTAATTTTTTAAAAATGACGTCGTCCAAATGTGCGCCGTCTCGTTGTTGGCACTCCTGAAATCGACTACGCAAACTTTGGAAAACTCGCTGACACATGCTGCGGGAGATCGCGGCTATCTCCTCGTGGATGTTTTGTTTTAATTGGGATATTGTCGTCGGTTTATTAAGGTACACTCGACTTTTCAGGTATCCCCACAAGAAAAAATCGCATGGTGTAAGGTCCGGGCTTCTGGGAGGCCAAGGGATATCACCTCTGCGAGAAATCAATTTGTTCGGAAACATTTCTTTGACTACCGGTAAACTCACATTTGACGTATGGCATGTTGCTCCATCTTGTTGCATCCAGGTCCTGTTGTTGTACCCTTGAAATTCATGCAACTGCGGCGTCAAAAAGTCTTGCAACATCTTGACGTATTCCATTGAATTCACAGTTACATTATTTCCTTGATTATTTTCAAGGAAATACGGACCAATTATGCCCTTTGCTGATATGGCAGCCCATACTGTCGTTTTAGGTGAATGAAGTGGCTTTTCGTGTTTAAGGCGAGGGTTGTCCCTGCTCCAATATCGACAATTGTGCTTATTCACGTGCCCATTGATGTGAAAATGGGCCTCGTCCGTAAACAATACATTCTCAAGGCTAGAGAATCGCTCCAGCATAGTGTCAGCCAATAACTTACGTTGAATGTAATCATTTGGTTTCATCTCCTGTACAATTTGAAGCTTATATGGGTGTAGTTTGAAGTCCAGATGCAAAATCCGCTGTAGACTAGTTCTTGGTATTGCCAGAGCCGCCGAACGCTTACGCGTATATTTCGACCTCTCGAATGTTCTCATCACTTCTTCTTGAACGTGGCCGCCCTGTTTGTTTAATATTCGTTGTTGATCCCGTTTGCTCGAACTTCTCTACCCAAGCTTTGATCAAATTAACACTTGGACACTCACTTATACGGCGTAATCCATATTTAATTCTAAACAGGCGTCGTAGAGTAACGTAGGAATCATTGTTTTTGTAAAATTGTTTTACACAAAAAGCACGCTGTTGTCCCGTGAATCGCTCCATCTTGACTAAAATTGCATGAAGTGACGCAGTTTCCCGCCACCCGCGCGCCCCTCCCTGGAACGGTTTTTCAAAATAATCTAGTGTTGCTATTTGCAAAAATTTTTGGCCCACCTTGTATATTGGTCTTCCCTGCAATCTATATTTTCTTATAGCTGTGATATATTTGCCTTTCCATTGAACAATTGAATGGCGTTCTATCAATCTTTTTCTTTTTGATTGGCATATTCTGTATCAAAAACCTAATTCATGTAATAAAAGTTGCATGTATATATATATATCCACATTTAATAACTCCATCTTCCTCTAAAACTTTTCTAAGTTTATTGATCGTGGGAATTTCCTTTCTTATTGTGTAGAATTTTTTAACCTTTCTTCTTATAACACCTTTGAGAAAATCTTCAATTTTTATCTTCTTTTTTCTCGTCTGTTTGGGTTTTCTTGCTGAAGAAAACTTCACATTACCTTCCATATTTTTTTTCTGCATTGACAACGCGTCATACGCTTGTTCTGACAATCCAGTAACCTTTGCAACGGTTTTATGTACATTGTATATCATCTTTATAGCTCAGCAGAATTGAGATCTGATTTTTTGCCTTATTAATATTCATACACTTTATAAACAACTTGTTTAGTTTGAGCCGTAACTGAAGGACTCTCCGTTTTGTTAAAAGCAGTATCTCATGTAACATACATACTAAAAAGCAAATAAATCTAGTGGGGGGGGGGGGGGGGGGGGGGACGCCCTACACTTCGTCCGCCGGTACGAGGCCGTCACTTGAGAACCTTTTTTCCCCATCGGTTATCGGTTCTTCGAACTATATAGCCGGCCCCTTGCCACTTCAGCTTAGTAATCCGTTGGGCTCTGTCGGTCACTCTGGTTCTACTGCGGATATCCTCATTTGTAAGTTTATCACGCAGAGAAACCCCGAGCATAGCACTCTCCATAGCTCGCTTAGCGACCTTGAGCTTCCTCATACGGCCAGCAGGGAAGGACCACATCTCAGTTCCATAGGTCATCACTGGCAACACGCACTGGATAACTAGTGCCTGTTGCCAGTGATGACCTACGGAAAATAAAATACGCTATATACGTATATATGTACATACTGTTTGTATGTACAAGTGGTATTTATATGCTTTTAGTAGAGCTTAAAACTGGTAGTTTGTTACATTTGCGAAATTGAAACAAGCGATAAATACTGGCTGTATACATTCGACAGTAATTTCACCAATGTAACAAATTCCCAATTTTAGATGCATAGATGAATGAAATATTACTGAGAATCATAGATAAAATGCAGTTTATTCGTTTTAAATATTCAATCTTACAGAATTTATTTCGACAAATTTATGGAGAGATTATTTTGTCTTATCCTCTTTTTCCCTTTATTTTTTAGAGTAGTGTCTGTGAGCTTTTTCCTTCATAGGGTCATTTACAAATTATATTTCCAGTGAGGATATTGTTTATATTTTTGCATCAATTGTTTATAAAAAACGCGGATTTATTAATTAAATAATCAATTAAACCATTTTTGTATATTAAACATGTAAAAAGTTAAAATTTAAATTAACTGTCATAATCAATTTAATATATTTAAGTATATTATTTTTAGCCCTATCTTTTAATATTTCTATTGAAATGTGTTCAACTTGGGCAAAGAAATCAAACAATGCCCTAGTTGGATAGCACAACCATTTTTTATTTTCATATTCTTTCATTTTTATAAATTTATGAAAATTTAATAAATCTTTTGCTTCCAAATCATGCCAGCAAGTAACACAGTTTTAAACACATGTTTCTTGAATACTGTTGCGCATTTTTCAATATCCATTGGAGTTTTACTTGCTAATAGTTCATCTGTATTTATAGGGTCTATATACTACTGAGAATAAGCTACTCCTGATTTATTAAAAACATTTTAGGGACTGGAGACAAACACTGTCATCTTTTTCACAGTTTGATCCAACTGAATGTGAAGATGTTGTATTGTTTATTAACAATGTTTTAAATGCTCCTTCAAATTCAGATGACGTAGACATTATATTACTATAGCCATTAGCTCGGATTGCTCCAAAAAAGTTCTCCAATGAATGTTGGTTAAAATTTCGCAGCAATAAGGAGTTGGTTCTTTTAGAATTTTTAAAATATTACAATGTTTGTAAAACTTGCTATTGTTTTAATCGAACTGGATAAAGATGGCACTAATCCTTGACTATTTTGACACTTGACAAATTTCATACTTTTGAGGATTGGGATACTATAATTTCACAAATTGTGATGCGGTGAAGTTGGAGTTACTGCAGCACGATACTTTTTCCCTCCTATAATTTAGCTGAAACTGCCATTCACGCTGTCAAATAGCTCATCGGAAAATAATAGAAAGTCCGCTGTCTCATAACTGCTCTTATCAAGAGCGCCTAATTCTGAAATGGGAAAGAAATATATTAACAAAGATTAGTGTATTATTTAAAAAAAAACAGCTGATTTATACAAAATAAGTCAGGTCCCTTGACAAAATGTGGAATAGTCATTTTGCAAATCAATATGGTAAAAAGTTATTCACGGTGATGAGTACAATGACCCTTTCTAGGTTAGTACCTCCTTTGTATATATTTATTTATATTATACTTCTGACAAGAGCCTACGCCTACTACCTTGCATTGTTTTAATAAAAGGTGACTAAGAGCTTGTGTCAAGATTTAGAGCATGGCTAGTATTTTTACTTATATACTTTTGATAAGTGATAACATACCACAATCAATTATCAATTTGCAAAAAGCAATGGTAATGGTGATGCAAATGGTAATGACAATGCCAATATTCAGCAGTGAACTTGTACAAAATGGCAATAATGAGAGAGAAAGTGCATAACTTTCAATCACTAATAAAAACTACATAGGTACATATATAATTTCAATTATTGTAAATAGTGTGCTTACCTGCCATACACGCAAGGCCTACTCCAATATTGACGAAACACTTGTGTGCAGTGTTTCTGATGCGTTTGTGAATGCAATGAAACAACCGCTGTCTTGTAACACTCGTTTATTACTGGTTGGATGACCGTACTACACACGTATATCTCATTCCTCCCCACTTAATTTTGGAACCTGGTAACAAGGTTTCTTAATTAAATACAGTATTTTTTTTTTACATAAACTTAACAACTAATAATAACTATTAACAATAATTAGCAAACTTGCTCTCTGCGTAACTATAATTAACAATCGCTACTTAAAAATACTTTTTATAATCCACCCTTGGTCTTGTACGTTTCGGGCGTGTGGCTAAAAATGGCAATGTTGGCGGTACATGGGAATCGCCAACTGTGGACGGCACCGCCTCCGTTTCTGCCATAGGCCTTTCTACGGGGGCAATGTCGTCCCTCTCATACTCCCTAGTCTCACAGTCACTTACTTCTTTTGCCTCACCGTGGTCAGATGAGCCAAGATTCGGCGCTCCAGTATTCGAGGACGATTGCAGCTCACCCGTCTGCATATTCGTAGCCTGTTCCATACTTTGCTCCGTATTACTTATACCCGGAAACATAGGCTGTTGCGCGGAGGGGTGTGCATTTACTGTAGCCGGCGACGTGGAGGGGCAACGAGTCTCCTCAGCAGCGACAATATCGTCGCGACTACTGTCTGAACCCATATATCTAATAATTTGATCCACATGTCTAATACACCAAACCTCCATGTCCCTAATATGAATTCTATACATTTTATTTCCTATTTTTTTTTTATTATTCTACCTAACTGCCAAGATTCTTTTCGTGCACTGTACCATCGGGTCCAAACGATATCACCGATTTCAAAAGATCTTTTCCCTGCTGCCGTAAGTGAATTAGAATTATGATTTTTTAAGAGTAAAATCAAATCAAGACGCGACCGCAAATTTCTGCCGAACATTAACTTTGCCGGCGTTTCACCCGTGGTACAATGCACGGTATTTCTATAGTTAAATAGGTACCCTAATAACATGTCGTGAACTTTGTGCAACGGTAAATTGTCAATTAATATACATTTTAACATTTTTTTACATGTTCTTACTGAATTCTCAGCTTGACCGTTACTTGGCGGATGGTAAATGGGTGACGTCATGTATTTTATGCCATTCGATGAACAAAATGTGAATTAATTTTTACATCGTTGTCGGACACTAAAACATTTGGTATTCCAAAATTAGAGAAAACTCCTTTTAATTTTGTTATTAAAGCATTAGATGAGGTTCCATTATGCATGTATAGACATTCTATCCATTTACTGTAGGAGTCTACGATTACCAGATATACCCTCTGCCCTACAGTCATGTAATCAATGTGCACTCGTTGCCATGGCG